TATATATATATATATATATATATATATATATACATACATATTTACATTTTTAGGCCATTTCGTCAAAAAAATTCTGAGATATGATTTTTTAAAGTTTTAAGGGTTGTCGCGAGTTCACGTGTTCATATTTTTGCGATATTTGAACGCGAATATTTCAAAACAAAAACAGGTATCAGGCTGAAATTTTCAGCATTTACTCATTTTTTTCATGCTGAGTTGAATAGTGTTTTATATCAAATTTAGCTTGCATACAATATCCCCTAAAAATGTCTAAACATTGCACTATATTGGGTCAAATATTGGTTTTCACCAAAATTTGACCCAATATAGCCAAGAACCTATAAAATATGGAATGAAGTTTGTCATACCAATAATATGTACCATATATGTGTTTATTATTTTCATAGAAAATTCATGTTAATCAATAATAGTGTACTTGTTGTAGGCACTGTTATGCATCACGGTCATCAATTTTTGTGCACATTGCAACCTCCAGATGACCATGTTGACAGTAATTCACACATTTCATATTTTGCACACTTATTAACGTCAGTAAGTACTAGCTATGGTGAAAATTTCAAGTTGGTGTCTTAAGCCTTTCCTACTAAATCAATTACTAATTAAAACCATATTTCGTTAAGTTTTTTTTTTAAATATTTTTTGTACATTAAAGTGTATTGTGGTAAATCATCAAAGCAATGAACTGTCAATTAAATTTTGTGAAAAAATAGTTAGTTTAAGTTACAAAATCGAATTATAGACTGTTTTTATCAACAATACAAGCAACCATGTAAAGCGATATCAGCGTATGGTGCCAATGCATTTAACTGTTGGTATCTTATCTATTTACACACAGTTTTACTATCAAACAGTTTCTTGCAACTGTCAAAATGCTCATCATCATAGAAATAATGTCTTGCTGAACTGCCAAACAACATTGGTCATGGAAGATTGCACAGCACATTAGTGAATGGTATCCAGCAGATATCTTCACGATGTGGCCAAGTTAATCTGTTTGTAGGTGTTCTGTTCATGAACTTTACCAAGATATCTCGATGTTCATCAGAATGTTCTGTTATGCAACCAATAAACCAATCAGTGTCATAAACAACAGCCACAAACTGTCCTGGATGCAAATCTGTTATACTTGGTGCCAGTTCAACTGCCAGGTCAGGTTCTGGTGACACATTGACCACTGTACCCAAGTCATCACATGACAACCTGAATATCTTCAGTTTGTTTTCACTTACTGTCACAAATCGGTGGTGTGACCGTGTGCCAGGAACAGTTTGAATTGAAGCAAATCGTTTAACCAAACAGCTAAAAAAAAACATTCCTGGAATGTTTTTGGTTGCCCAATCGTACATTTGATGTGGCGTTAGTATTTGATTTTGCAGAGTTGCCTGCAAACTTGCTCTTGCCACTAGCCTCTTTACTGTACCACCAATACCATCACAAGGACTTTTTCCATGACTGGTAGCAAAAAAATTCCACTCCGCTTCAATACCAAAATCTATTTTATACATGCACAGATTCTTAAAGTTTTTGCAGTTTTTATATTGTGCTGCTGCTCCATCACTGAAGTAAATTGTTTTCTGCAAATCAGGCATTTTGCTCCGGAGAAATGTCAGTACTATTTCAATGAAGGCATGGACTGTACCTGCTACATGTTCACAGTCATCACTTATAATGCAAAGAGACAAGCAGCATAGGTCATTGCTGGGTAGCTCACGATAATACACAAAAAATGGATGCAATGTGACCTGTGATGTTTCCCAGTTAAAGCCTTGCACTGCATCCTAACAGAAATGAATAACTTTCTGCAAAATCCAGCAACACAACTGCTGTTCCAACTGCTAAACACTCCTTCAGATAACGTAAGTAGGATGACTGTGCCTTGACCATGAAATGATGATCTGTTGTTTTATCAGCGGAAGTACAAAGTGAAGTAATGAAGTCAGCATATACAACAGTCTCACATACAGATTGCAGCTTTGACTGACCATCATGGGTCCATCGTTTATAATTGATTATGTCACCTAAATTCATATCAGCTTCATCAAATAGCTGTTCAAATGATTTCCGTTCATCAATACCAGGACAAATAGAACAACAATGCAAGATACATTCTCAATTCTCAGTTGAACAAACAACCTTCAGAAGCAAGTCCTTATAATCAGTTCTAACAGACAGTGCTGCAACTGCAAGTTTCAAATTTTAGTGAGTCTCACATACACAGATTGTATGGACACCACTCGAGTCAACAGTAATGCATCATGATGGTCGCAGTGAACAAAACTTGCTAAGCTCAATTTTCATTGCATTTCGCTTTTTGAATTCTACATGCATCTCCTTGAGATTCAGAATTAGAAGACTTTTTTGTTTACGAACACGTTCACCATCAATTCTGATTGACAAAAACTCCTTTAGACCTGGACACATGCAGGAAATTTCATCATCTTCAAAAAATTACATACACTTTCAATCATCATCTGGGAGAACTTTGTTATCTTTTTTCTGTGGGTATGCCAAAATTCCATATTACTTCTTCAGTTTTCTCGCATGCTTAACGACGTGCCTGAATACTCCAAATTCCTGTGAGACTTTTTGTTGGCTCCAGCTAGATGGTACTAGTGTTACCATCTTAATTTTTTCTTGCCAGGAAGCTGTACTGCACTTAATCTTTAATTCAGTCACTAGTTTCATTAAGTCATTGCAACCATCACATTCTGTAGCATCACCTTCATTCACAACTAGATTAAGAGCTACTTGGATGACTTTGCTTACTTTCTTCTGGATCTCTGTTGTTGCAGTTGCAATTTTACGTTTGGTATATGAAATTCTACTTCGAACAGGCATTGCATGAAGCTTTACTGGTGTGCAATCAATGCTTGTTATACTGTCATTTAGTTGAGAAAGATGCAAGCAACGTCTTCTATATCGGTATCACTAGCTGAATGTCCATAACTCTGTTCAGGTTTCTGGGATGTATCGTACTTTCGACAGCTTGGGTATAGCTTCTCACCAGGTTTGATGTGTCTCCCAGTTGTTAGTGTTAGCTCCTTGGCTTTGTCAATACTGACTGCCCTCAGTGACTTTGTGACTTTGCATTGATGCTTATTGAATGGATCACAAAAACTCTGCTGCAATTTATTAAATTTTTCAAGTAAAACCTGTTCATGGTGAAAGCATATATTACAGTTCTCTCTTTGTAATTGATCAACAGGCTTGGTTCTTAACATCAACAATTCAAAGTTAGCATCGGATAATTCTGACAGTTTATGCAAGCCGATACTGCATGTATGAACAGTCTTGTGGCCTTCATCTTGAAACAACAAATGTGCAAATGTGCACAATGGCAAATGTGCACAATGGCAGTTCAGCCATATTCAGTAAATATTGAATCTATATCAAATATAAAAAAAATGTGATAACATATTTTTATAAAAATATTCCATACTAATTCAACCAAAAAGGGTCAGAGGGCCAAAAGGGTCAAAGCTAAATTTACATGCTGCTTTCTCATAATTCAATAAAACTTTTAGTATATGTTTATAAACGTTTATTAAAAAAATGAAACACCTAAAAAAAATTAATAAATAAAAAAACATATAATAATAATAATAAAAAAAATAATAATTATATATTAATAATATGAAATACCTAAATAAAATATTAAACAAAAAATTCATTTGAAAATATTCAAATCAGATGTTTCACCAAAAAGGAGGCAAGACACCAAAATGAAATTTTTACCATAGCTAGTACTTACTGATTTTAATTAGTGTGCAAAATATGAAATGTGTGAATTACTGTCAACATGGTCATCTGGGGGTCCGATGTGCAAAAAAATTGATAACCGTGCCTATAATAAGTACACTATTATTGATTAACATTAATTTTCTATGAAAATAATAAACACATATGGTACTTATTAATGGTATGACAAACATCATTCCATGTTTTATAGGTTCTTGGCTATATTGGGTCAAATATTGGTGAAAACTGTCTAAAGTGCAATGTTTGGATATAAAAACACCATTCAACTCAGCATGAAAAAATGAGTAAATGCTGAAAATTCCAGCCTGATACCTGTTTTAGTTTTAAAATATTCACATTCAATAATCGTGAAAATGTAAAAGTCACGTGATCTCGTGACACTCCTTAAAACTTTAAAAAATCATATCTCAGAAAGTTTTTGAATAAATAGCCAAAAATTTTGAGCAATTGCTTAACTTTGTATGTACTACAAGCCCTAAAAATTTCAGGAAGATCTGAGATGGTGTGGTGAACATCACTGGTTGAGTTGATATGGAATGACCCAACTAATAATAGCATTATAAGTTTATTTTTAAAATAAGAGCACTTTGTTTTTTTCCAGTTTAACCAAATAAAAATATATTTGATGAAAGAATAATTTTCTTATTTAGCAATTATTGTAAAGTATAATACTTTAGTGTAAATAAATAAATAAAATTGTCAATCTGATAGTAATACTATACATAATATTATGGATAGGTACAATCAGCAGAGCAGAATGGATTGGCTGAGCAGATCATTTATATGCTACCAACTGCATATCGGATTATAAAATTAGCCAAATTTTTGTAAGAAATCTGCTAAATAATTTGCCAGATCACAATGTGATCTGCTAATTCGATTTGGAGTGCTTTTTGTGCATGTGATTAACATGTGATTAACATGCACACAATGCACTCCAGAAAAAAAAAGTGCCTGAGACTTGAGTCTTAGCACTTTTTTTTACTTAGGTAGTAAGAAAAAGTAATACTTCCCTTACCAATAAAAAAATGATTTGCCATACCCTAATATGTGATCTGTTAAATAATTGAGTAGGTAACATGTTAAAATTAGGTTGTCCCAATTGCCGTAAGTTTAAGTAAGATAAATATTTATTTTTAATATATATGAATATATATATATTGAAAATGAATATACCATCAATAGTTTTATATTAACTGTTGACAATATATTCTTTTTACCATAAACCTTCAATCAAATGTGAAACATTGTGTCTATATTGATTCTTTCTACAATCAAGTTTCAATATGGAGTGCATTGTTTTTCATAATTCTAATATTTGTTTACTTATAAGAATTCAGCTTATTGTATAATCCAAAAGAATGCCTCTTATAAGAATTCAGCTGATTTTATAATCCGCACTGTTATTTGTACCATATAATAATCTATTTAAATAATCTGCTCAGCCAATATGCTTTGCTCTACCGATTGTATCCGCCTAAAATAATAATAGTACTACTGTTAGTAAGGTAGAATATCTAAAAGTTAACATGCTCTGCTCTACCGATTGTATCTACCCAATAATACTAATAGTACTATTACATAATAGTAGATTATCTAAAGTTAACATCTTAGATAAATTTTTTTATAATAAATAAATAAAAACATCTGTTTATAGTATTTAAACTTATCCATATAAAATTGTTATTTTTATAAAATATTTCTAGGGGTTATATATACTCTCGTTATTCAAGTAATTAATGGTAATCAATAAGGTAGAAATACTCTCGACGTAAACATTGGCCTGTATTTCCACCCGCATAAAATTTGTCACTATGCGTCCGTGTTTGGAAGTTTGGAAAATTAAAGTAGAAACCTTTAACGAGGTTTTTTTTTTTTTTTTTTTTTTTTTGTATGTATTTAGGTGCTCCCAGAAGTCCTTATGGTCTTATCATAAAGCACCGCGGGAGAGCATTTAATAGGAAGTTCACGCCTCTTTCCGTACCAATGTCGCTTGTTGGGCTGGAGCTGGCGTCGAACCTCGGACCTCTAGGTTCTGTGCCAGAACTCTAACCACTGCGCCACGGCTGCTCAAGTTAAGTTCGTTGGCTTTAGACTAAGCCTTAATATATTATCTGTTAAATTATTACGTTACTGCGAAAGAAAATAAATTATTTTAAAGGTAAATTTTAAAACTTTTAGTCTTAATGCAATATTAATGACAGTAGCAAGTCTCCTTTTTTTAAAACAAGTCATTAAATTTTTTTAATGAGATGAAAGTCGGTACTACTCAACTTTCTCTTCCCTCCTACCCTGATTTTATGATTGAATATGATAGAATACATTATACTTATTCAAAATCACATTAAAAAATTGGTCTGAAACTTGAGGAAAGTACTCTAATTTGATATTAAAGTTTAAAAGATTATACTAAAAACGCTAAAATTTGCCATCTTTTTCATACTCAGTTATGATTAAATTTTAAAAATTAAAAAAAAATTTAAAAAACTTAGTTTCTATCGACTTTAAAGTCGGAAGACTGAATAAAAGCAAACTGGCATAAGTGCAAAGCAGTTGCAAAAGCTGAAATAAGTACGAATCAGCATAAGTGTGAATCAGCATTAGTGCGAATTGACATAAGTGTACCAAATAAATTTGCAAACATTGGCATAATTGCGAATCATTGACAGTTGGGCTTATTGGATTACCCAATAAGCCCAATTAGGTCATAGCTTTGGAGTCCCATGTAATTAGGGGGCCCCAAATATTCAAAAACGTATTTTTTAATTTGAATAATATTTTAAAATAATTAGATCCAGAGCCGGCTCGTGAGAATTTCTTAGTGTGTGCAAAATAAAATTGCCACCCTTAATAATGATTAAATTTTATTAAAGCGACGCATTTTTTAGGCAATTTTTCATTTACTGTTAATCATAAAATTTGCCGTCTGTGTGCTTCGCACACTTCGCACACGCCACCAGCCGGCACTGATTAGATCTAATCCTCTTACTTGCGGAAATGAATCTACTATTGAGAAGGGTTGTAGTTCAACCGATCTTTGAAAGTTAGACAATTTTAATTAAAATGACGTCATTTTTGGATTAACAAAGGTTCACAAGAGTTTGACACTCTTCATACTGGAGCGTTTGAATGTTCTTGCAGATTTTACAATACAGAAAGTTAAAATTTTTTTTGCGAGAATGGCTCATTTATTCCCCAACAACTGGTTGTTTGTACTGTTTCCCTTGTAAACTTTTCATGTTTGTTTAATTTTACTAAAGTTTTTTTGAGTTAGTTTGATTTTTCTAAAGAAAAATCAAACAAACTCGCTAGCAAGGGATTTTGTGATTGGAAGAATATTTTTCAAATAAATTAACATGAAAATGGATTTCTTCACAGAGAATGCATGTTTACATATTTTTGGAGAAAAATAAGCTTTGTTGTGAGTGACACCGTTCAACTTCATTTCTAAACGGAGCTAAATTACTGGAAAAAAGTATTGAAACGTCTTTTTAAATTAAACGAATTAAAAACGAGCAAAGAAGTATCATGCTTAAGAAGAGATTAGAAATGCTGAGCTTGATGTCAATCGAATCAGATATTCTTTGCAAGATTGATTTTGATAATATAATTAACAACTTTATCGATGAAAAAATATAGAGAAAAAAAATATTTACGAGTATAACAATGCCGATTTCGTAAACTGTGATCTTTATCAGTTGCTTTTGCAAATGTCATAAATATAAGCGTAAAAAAACATATGTAAAGTATATTTAAAAACTTAAAAATGTAGTATGTTTAAAAAAAAATTGTAGTATGTTTAAAAAAAATTCATATCAGATTTATCACATAATTTTTTATATTTATGAAGAAAAGGCTTATGTACATTGGTAAATACGTACATTAATGAATGTACGTACTTTACTACTTAATAATCTTACAAAAATAACTTTTTTAATGTAAAAATGGGGCCCCCAAAAGTTTTAGTGCCTTGGGCCCAAGTTTTCCTTATCCGACACTGATCATTGATATATATATTATATAAGCTAGATGTTTAACTTCGATTCGAAAAGTGAAGCCCGTATTTGCCCTTTTTACAAATGGCGGGTTAAATTTGAAAACAAATGTTATTTTACTTTTTTTTTAAACTATTTATGTCAAAGTGTTTGGAGAAATTTAGAATACTTTTAAAATAATTTATGATTCCAAAATTTATTTTCAATTGAAAAGGGATAAAAGTTTTAAATAGAAAAGTGAAACGATAGACGCTTTTGAAGCGTTTTTATGAATTATAATACATTTTAATAAACATAGGCTCAAAAAAAAACATTCATATGTATATTATAATTATTAAAACTAATTTTTGAATTACCTTTAATTTATTGGGAACTTTTGATTTGCATTTTTAAACTTTCATTCCACACATCGGCTTCAAATTGTAATTTAAACAGTACTAAGTGTTTCTTTTCTAATCGAATTGTTAATGTATGGAATAGTTTATCGGAAAATGTGGTGTCTGCATCGTCTGTCTCGATGTTTAAGAACCTTCTTGCTGTACTGCCTTCTTCAAGTTGATACAATTTTGTTCTAACTGGTCCATCACTTAATACAGTTTAACATTTTATTAGAAAAAAATTTAATGTATACTCCAGTGTTAGTGGCCTTCGGATACTTCTGTTGTTTTCAAATAAATAAATAAACAAATGTTAAGTAAAGAATTACCATAGCGATAAATGATTATTATGCCTACTCTGCGAAACTCTCTTTCAAGTATAATTTTTAGTTTCTGTATATATGTTAATATGATAATTTTTACAGGGTCCATCTGCTAGTTTTTTTTATTTTTATTCGGTAGTTTATAATTTTTGGCCATATCTGAAAATCCTTGGTATGGGTGTCGTTTTGGTGAAACGCACTGACGAGAAACTCAATTTCATTCTGAATATTCTGTTCTGAACATGTTTTATGAGGTCTTGAAAGAAATTCTTTAAAAATATTTGTTGCTATATTTGCTATAATTCTAAAATTGAAGAACGTGGTTTTATTAATATATTAGTAATTGCTTGCTTACGATATAAAAGATACAAGTCCAAACTGGTGTAAGTGCGAATTGGCATTAGCCAATTCGCCCCTACACCAGTTTGGATGCGATGCAGACACCACATTTTCCGATAAACTATTCCATACATTAACAATTCGATTAGAAAAGAAACACTTAGTGCTGTTTAAATTACAATGGTGTTTGTACAGTTAAAAGTTATGATCTCGATTATTCAAGTAAGAATTGAGAATAAGAATGTTCGATAGGTCAGCGACCAGTTTACCGTTTAACAATTTTATAGCATAAAACTAAATCTTTAAACACTCGTCGATATTCTAACGTGTTAAGCTTTAGCATGGCTAGACGCTTATCAAAGGAAATTGACCACAGACCAGCAATTCTTTTAGTAAAGAAACGCTGCACTTTCTCAATTTTATTAATCAGACATATAGTGTAAGGTGACCATACTGAATAACAATATTCAAACATAGATTGTTCATAAGTACAGTAGTCTTTAACCATCAGCAATCCATAGATTGCTGATGGTTAAAGTCTACTGTACTTATTCTAAAATATTTTTATTCACGAGATATATCTCGTAAATAAAAATATTTTAGAATAAGATAGGCTCTTGACATAAGATTGATATGTTTATTAAATTTAAGATCGTATCAATTGTAACTCCAAGATATCTTATACAGTTAACATACACATGTTCATGGTTATTTATGGTATAAACACAATGGGTTATGTTTTGACTCTGGTAAGCAATTGTACAGATAAAGGATTTTTTAGTTGCTATTTGGAGTTGCTAAGTACAACTCCATTCCTACAAACGATTAAGAGCTGTGTATAGATCTGACTGAGGGCCACGTACATCATAGACTGAGTATAATTTAATATAATCAGCAAAAAGTTTAAGTTTGACATCAAGCTCTTTATTAATGTGGCTCACATCATTGATAAACAATAAGAATAGAGTAGGTCCAAGAACGCTTCCCTGTGGATCACCATTTGTTACAGATATAGCGTGGGAAGTAACATTGTTTAAATTTACAAACTATAATCTCATGTGCAGAAAATTAGTTAGCCAATTCAGAAGATTGCCACCCATTCCGTAGGCGGGTAATTTAAATAAAGTTTTTTAAAATCAAAATAAATAATATCTGTAGGAATGCGGCGCTGAAGATTTAAAGTCCAGTCATGAAGACTTTCTAGAATATTAGTACAGATACTACGTTTACGAATAAAACCATGCTGCTCTTTTGTGATTAGGTTATTGAGTAAGAAATAATATACCTGTTTGTTGTTAATGATTCTTTC